ATAGAAGTAGAACGACTGTGGCAAAAGAAAGCAAAGATGGTACCAATAGTTACAGGCGCCTTGGGTGCAATCCCAGAACATCTGGAGCCCCACTTGAAGACCATCGGCAGTGACAAAATCACCACCAGTCAATTGCAAAAGGCAGCTTTACTTGGAACAGCTTCTATCCTGCGACGATACCTTTTTAACACCCTCAAACAACATCTGTCTATCCCAGGGCCTTGGGAAGGACTGGATAGATGGACAAATATGCCACGTCCCTCCTGAACGTCTGGCTGATGGTGCGACCAACAAAAATAATAATTACAACACAGGGAAGCAAAGTCTGTTCTCACACTTCCTGTAGCAGGTTCGCTGCCTGTTGCCGCAACAATTGGCTCTGGGCCAATTTCTTTTCTAATTGGCACTGCTAAACCCTCTGGGTGTATCGCTGATATGAGAAGTGGGAACTGCGATAAAATGAAAACCTCGGAAATGGTTTAAGGTTCTCCTTTGGGCATTTGGGGTCACCTTTTGGGCTGCTTTTGGTTTTTCCTTGAAAATCCTTCTGTTTTTCTGCAAAGCTTGAGGTTTCAGCAAATCTCCTGAAACTTCTCACCCCTGACGGGTCATGCTATTTTTGTCTAAACACACAATGGCATTTCCATCCTGGGCTACGTGGCTGTGTGGTTGTGTAAGGGTGATGTAATTGTCATTGTTAACGGTATTATGTTGATCTTGCTTTTCCTCCCCAGCACGGTTGTCTTTTGTTGCTATTGTCAGTTTATTTATTCATAAACTGCCCAGAGTGGCTGGTGAGGAGGTGGCCTTAGAAATGGATTAAATAAATAAATCCTGACCCTGGAATTATTCTTCATTTATTTTATTATTTATGCATAAAGGGCAGCACCCCTTTTCCCTTCCCACGATGATAGCTCCAAAGGAGTGGCGCACAAGGGGGATTGCAACCATAAAACCCTAGGATTTATAAAGCCATAAAACCATCCTGTTACAACAGCTTAAGCCCTAAATCTACAATCTGACAATTTGGGAGGGCAATGATGGCCCTGGAAAGAGAAAAGAGTCCCCTGGGATCTCGCCTGGGAGGGTCGATGGCACGTACCTGGTGAGCCAGGATAGTGTCATAGAGTTGCTCTTCCGATATCCCAGAATTCTCTCCACTTGCAGCTTCAGCCCCCGCGAAATCAGCCCGCTGGTCATTGAGCCTCCGGGCCTGGATTGTGGCCACCATGTCAAAAAATTCTTCAGCCTGGAGGGAAGTCAGAGACGAGAAGAAGACTGGAAAAGGGGGGAGGAGGAGGAGGAAGAGGAGGAGGAGGAGATGACAATGATCAAATTCACCCCTTTTCTGAGTTTGTACAATCCACTGAACCATCATCTCCCCAAGGGGTTGGATTTGCACAATCCACAAAGCAAAGCACCAACCCAATGTGCAAACAGCAACAACCAGGGTTAAAACTAACTAGTTTGTGTGTGTTGTAGGAACGCTGCTACTAAGCCCTAAATGTTGACTCGGTTAAGCGTAGAGTGAGAACTGAGACAAGGCATCACAAAACCCACACTTGAAATTGTCCCCAAGAGAATCCTGGATAGGGAATCCTGGGTAATGATTTTGGACCCCCTTTCAACAAAATAAAATAGGAATAAAATATCTGCGGGGTTTTTGGGGGTGGGTGGGTGAAGGGCATCTCCTTGCAAAATGGGAGGGTGGAGGGCAATGGTCCATTCTGTTCCTGAGTTTCCTAAGAGAAATGTCAGGGGAAATGACTTTTTAATCCTCAGCCTGGTTTCTGGAGATCACGTCTTCACAGAAGAGCATTAGGCCTCTGAAGTTTGTTGCAGAGGCCAGGTTAGATCATTGATATTCACAGTGATGGTCATTCACAATCAGTAACAGTAAGCCTCTTTGAACAATTTGCACTAAAAATCAGGCATTTGTATAGGAGGGGAGTCATGTTCCTCTGTGGTAGCCAGAAATCAGGAGTTTGGTAGCACCTTTTCAGACTAATGCATCTTATTAAAAGGGAAACATTCACAGACACAAATTTGCAAATTTAAAAAAAATAGCTTCTCCTTTTCATTTCAGAAATTCCTACTAATATATCGGGGGAGAAATGTATCATCTGAGTCCCTTTTGTGTGGCCCTGAACCCCTTCTGTGGACAATTGTCAAAGATCAGCCCTTTAGCTTTTCACCATTTTGAGGTAACAGACTGCCAGCCCTACTAGGTTAAACTAGACCAGGAAATCAACACCACAGGAAGCTAAGACTGCTTTTATTGAGACGGGCTATAATAATACAATCTTGCAAGTCTGTGTTTGTCAGCCTTACCAGGTAGACCAGACAGGAAACATGTCAGTTTCAGTTTCATTACCAGTTCAGCTAATTCTATTTTATTGCAAAGCTACATTAACAGAATCTTGCAACTCTGAGAGTACCATTCTCCTCCCATCTCCTTTACCCTGGAGAAATTAGGGAGGATCTCTTCTGAACCTCTTGCCCCATCCATTATGCAACTGAGGGCTATGCTCTCTCTTATCTGACCGTCCCCTAGGCAGCGTCTCTGGGCCCAGTCTCCCAAGGTCATTCCCACATACCATTACATTGTTGTGCTTCCCGTCCTTCTTATACCCCGGTGAATCAAGAAGGTGCCTGTCAGAGCGTTTCTGAATGTTATCTCGTTGTTCTGGACTTAAAAAATGTTTCAGCCCCTTTTGCCTAGGTAATAGTTCTTGCAGATTTCCATCAAGGCCATCTTCCTTACTCTCTACAGCAGCATTAATCTCAGCAACTATAAGATGTGTGGACGTCAATTCCCAGAATTCCCCAGCCAGCATGGGGAAAAAATGAAAATTCCAGTTGCGTGTCTGAGATGCCTCTGTCCCCAGAGCATCAAACACAGCCCTCAGATGCTCAAATGTTCCTCTTATTTTGTTGTGCACGAACACATTCTTTTGAAAAAGGAAAAAAAAAAAAAGAATTGTGCAAGATGAGTTTCTGAAACTGGCGGAAAAGCTGCATCTTGTGGAAATTTTAATCACTGCCACTTCAAGCTAACTTGGCTTAGTCCTCATTTCGAACGAAATGCTGAAGTTTCTGTTGCACAATTGAGGAGGGTTCCCCAAAGGCTTTTTTTTAAGAAACCGAGTTTATGCTATAATTAGGAAGTGAGAAAATAACTGCTGTGTATTTTCTCAAGCGGTTGGCTTTCGGCTTCTGTCAGATACCGAACGCAAAACCAAAAAGCAAAAGGATACCCATCACGCGTGTAAAAAGGGGCGGGGCTTCCCAACCCAGTTGCAACCACCATCTTGACCTTTTTGACTCCCTGGGCGTTCTAATACTTCTACCACATTTTGGTTAAAAGGTTGAGCTCCTGGGGGTCTCGTCCTTTGCCACAGGGGGCGGGGCTGAGCAGACATCCAGTTTTCCCAGTGAAACCAGTGAACAGCAATGGAGTTGTCACATGGTTGGGATCTAAGCACACGGGTTTCCTAAATGCTTCATTCCCCTGATATGACCCAGTTGTGGTGGGTGAGGAATGTCAAATTTCCCTGCCTTGTGAAACTCAGCACTATCTTATCCCCCCAATCGCTTCATTGCATGATGCTTAAAGTAGGGCCCAACTTTGACACTCAATAGCATAAATAACTGAATTAAAGGAAGGAGGGTACCCTGTTTTCTCCGGTGCAGGGGAAAAAAGAAAGAAAATAAGTGGAAAAACACCCTGAATTGATTTTCATTCTGCAAACTTGATTCCTGAGCCCGCACGCTTTCTGAATTCATGCAGCTCCTTGGATTATAAATAAACCAGACAGATTCAAACCCCATAGCGAGCCACACGCCCACAAAGGTGGAAACTGGAATACGGAAACGATCCTGCCAGGTCTTTAACTGACACGGCCTTTGCTTAAATGAGGGCTAGAAACTTCTTTTTCAACCTCTGAACAAAAAAACCCGAATGGCATCTTCCGTCGAATGTAATTAAATAAAGACACTAATCTCTGATTCCAGATCCTTAGATTTCGGATTACCAACTAACTAGGAAAAAAGAGGTAGCCCAACTCGCTCACCTACTCCAGCGCTCTTGAGCAGGTGTTGGAAATGCAAAAAAACCCCGCTAAGGAGCCTCCGTAATATGGGTAGAAAGGTTACATTATGAATGGCTGCAGATCGGGGTAAGCAAACTTTTGGCACCAGCTGGTACGTTTGGAGAGCTGAGGTTGTGTTGTGGGCACGCTCACAAAATGGCTAATTCCCAAACGTCCAGAAATCATCTGGGTAAGGTGGTCTTCTTCTCCCTCTCCTGACACCAGGGCATCTCTTTGAAACCTACTCACTTTTTCTCTTTTTTTCTGGGCAGGTCCGAAGAAAGCAACCCTATTTATCTACCCTATTTCTCTCTTAGGCGTGCCCATGGGAGCTGTGGGTCAAGCAGAGGCATTCTGGGAACGTGAGTCGCCGCCATCAGTTTCCCCTTTGGTATAATTTTATATGCTTATTCATATAAAATAATAATGGTTTACAATCATCGTTCTAAATTATTTGATAAGAATGAGATACAATAATTTATCATTATTGTATCGTTTATAAATATAAATGCAGGATGTGAGTTGCTGCCATGAGTTTCCCCTTTGGAATAATTTTACGTTCTTATTCATGTAAAATAATAATAATTTATCATTATCATGATAAATTATTTTCTAAGAATGACATAAAGCAGTTTATAATAATTATTATAAATTATTTATATCGGTCTTATAAAATCATTTATAAGAACGATATAAAATAATTTATAATGATATCCTTTAGAAATGTAAACGCGGGATGTAAGCTGTTTATTAT